CTATCTTCTTTTGTCTCTCATTCTTTTGCATATTTTGGAGTTTGACACATGATTCAATAAAAGTTGCGTTCGCGTAGCTGTTAATTGTTCATGTTTAACCAAAACTTACAAGTTTTTGCGTTCGCGTACGCAAAAAACTTGCAAAGTAGGGGAAATTGAGAGAGCAAAGTGACATTTCATTTTGAGGGGAAGCTGCTGGTTTCTGCTGGAAAAAATTTTGCCAACAGCAATTTGCCAACAGGAAAACAGCTGATTNTTTGATGGTTTGGAAGTTAAAAATTACAAAATGCGACTAATTAAAATTGTAAGAAATAAGTAGTTATTTGTTTAATCAATAAACTGTGCCAGTATAACACTTTGTGATGACTTTTCGTACGTTTTAAATTTTACACTTTTGAATGTAAGCAAAAATTATAACAGCTGTTCGTCTAACTTGCAAGTTTCTTCAAATTTTCTGTTCGCGTACTATTTGGGATATTTTTCTCTTGTGAGAGAACAGATGACATTTCGCCGGAACTTGGCAGTTGGTTGGTTTTTACTGGAGATTTTAAACGAACGCACCTAATGAAAGGATTTGTAAGAAAAACTTTCTCTCGCTCTAATTTTATCAATGACACTCCCCCCTACTCCTAAAAACAAAAACAGTGATATTTCGTTTCCAAATTTCTTTGCAAGTTTTAAGAACATTTTTAAATTGTTAGTAGTNGGATTTGTAAGAAAAACTTTCTCTCGCTCTAATTTTATCAATGACACTCCCCCCTACTCCTAAAAACAAAAACAGTGATATTTCGTTTCCAAATTTCTTTGCAAGTTTTAAGAACATTTTTAAATTGTTAGTAGTGAAATTTTTACTTTTTAAATTTGAAAAAAATGCTGTTCTTCATTCGCTGGCGCCAACAAGACAAAATGGGTGAGAATCGTTGGACTACAGAAATTCAATGTAGGCTAAAGAGACGAAATTCACTTAAATGCCGAAATGTATTTGTCGATATTCGTGGAGCCAACGAAGGTATTTAGGTATTGTCCTCCACAACACAATCCTGGTGTCTCCGAATGAGACTTTGACGCAGCCAAACCGCATCCATAGGCCCAATCGTCACACGACAGCTCAGTTTAGTCAATGGTGGGTTTCACACTGGAACATTTCTGCCACCAGAACAACTCTGTTTGTAGGCAAGAGAGGCAGTGCGGTGAGGTAAAGTTTCTCAAAAAGTTGTTCCAGCTTCTACCCTGCTACGCAACTTCCAAGCGCAGAAGTTACAAATACATTCAAACGTCCTGTACGTATACTCATTTTATTCTGCTAATTTTCATCCAGTGTGAAACCGTGACAATAATTGTTCTGTCATTCTAGTGTGAAATAGCCCAATGGCGCGATGTAATTGCACACTTAAAAGGTGTACGCATGAGGCGAATGTTGGCTGGCGACCAACTTTGTTGAAAGCGATTAGTTGAAAGTAGAATGCAAAGTTGAACAATGCAAACGCCTTTTATGGCGAATATTTTGATATTTTTAGTCATTCAATTTTTTTTTCGTGCAACCCGGCGAATGATTAATATAGTAGTATAATCTCCCCAGAACATTAAAAGTGCGACAGCAAAGAATTCGAATTACCATATTCGAAACAATCGAGCCATAACCGCGAAAGAAAAGTAAGCTCCAAATTTTTTTTATTTGCCGTTTTTTTTTGATTAATAAATATTGCATATTTTCCACAAACAAATAGCTTCTTCATATCCATCATCTGGCAAACAAATACAACAAAAAAAAAAGGCTGAAAGTGGACCATCCATTCTCGAGTTATGCGCCATCTGACGTTGGCAAGTTTGGTATATACATAGAAATATTTATTTTTAGTTGCGATCCCGTACGAGTTCGGACTAGTCAAAAATAGTCAGAATCAGTCAGATTTTACTGGAAATTGATCCCGTACTCGGTTCTCTGACTTTTGAGAGGACAAAAAAGAGTAAATACGGTTCTTTCTCTGTCAGAAGTTACCAGTTTTAGTCCGAGAATTTTTAGCTCTGATCCAGTACTCCATGAACTTACAGGATTTTACACGAACTTGCAGGAAAAATGTTCCCGTACTCCAAAATCCTGTAAATGAGAGCGACTTTTGGAGAGTTGTGTAGAGAAGGAAGTTGCAAGATTTTACCCGAACTTTTTCTTCTGGTGAAATCATGAAAAGTGTCAAGTAATCACTGGTTGACGTTTTTACAGGAAAAATGGATTTTTTGTTCCCGTACTTTTTGTTGTTACACACTTTTTACTCTCACTTCAGAGAGTAATTTTGCCGTTTGACAGTTTTACAGGATTTTTCACGAAAAGTATTGGATCAGAGCTTTTTG